AAAACTGTCAAAGTTTTTTTTCTCATTATGCAAATGTTTGCTGCAGGATTTTTTTTTATGCTGTGCACACTGACCACATAGACCCATTTTTTCATATGTTTGGCCTACCAGCTTTCTCGCTAGATTTGAAGGCGCTAGAATTTGAGTACTAGTACGTCAATAACCCTGGTGTGTAAGCCATACTAGTACCTCGGAAACCCTGAAAGGGTTAAAAAAAAAAATTTTTGCATGAAATATACATTTACCTACACAGAAAACAATGAGACGTGAATAAAATAATATGACACTTAACTTTAATAAAGACTCTTCTTAGTGTGTTGAAGATGAGAGGAGGGGAGAGGATGGAGAAATTACTGTTTGGAAGGGGAATCTCCTTCCATAAAGACTTTAGGTACTTTACCTGTGTTTGTTTTTTAATGCCACTAGGACCAGCTTGAGTCACTGGACTGCTGTCGCTCAAAAAAGTGTTCCAGAGAGGTCTGTTTCTGGCATATGTTAGGAATTGTGGCAGCAACAGGGAAGGATGTGGGAAGACAGGACAAGATAGTCCTTCAAAATGACACTAATATCAACTCTGACTTATTTATCTAGAACAATTCATCTAATATGACATAAACAATATTAATAACATAGAAACATGATATATACTGTAGAATGAATAAAATATCATATGTCTTTCTCCCTAACTGTCAAGTGTTGTTGTGTTGTTCGTTATTGGTGTATAAAGGCCACTGAAAGATAAGCCTTACGTAATGGTGGTAATGGCAGCAGCAGAGGCGGTGGTGTTAGTAACCCTATGTATCTCCAACAACATTGGAGGAGTTAGTTTCATGCTGTCCTTTTTCTATTGATTAATTGCTTTACTTACTTGCTACACTGTTAATGCTACACTTTATCGCTGGCTGGCGCTATAGCTTTTATTGACTCCTACTGCTTTAGTATTGTACATATTGCAGAATCACTGAAGAAGGCACATTCTCCCCTCTCTCTCGGCCCTTTACGAAAGGGCTGGCTGGCACTAGGAGCTTTCTTTGGGCCTATGGTGGCTTATTTAGCAGTTGCATGCACTAAAAAGAATGGAATAATACGAAATGTATCATATGAACGTGTGGGATTGTGCTCACTGGCTGATAAACTATGGCACAGTGTCGGGCCGCTGTTGCCATGTGGACGCATTCAGGATGAATGACTATTACTAAGCTCAAGTGACGATCACTGAGCCAATATTTTGATGAAAAAATGTTTCGATTTCTGAATACATGTATTATGATATCCAATGACTACGATGCTCAGGGGTCCAGTGTACTGTTCACATGTATGCTTCAATGTGAACACTTGATCTACACACCCCCTACCCATTCGAAAGCTGCCTTGTTCATCTGCAATCCTGCTCTCTATCTTACTTCTAATTCTTTCAATAATAACCCTACCATACACTTTACCTGGTATACTTAGTAAACTACTACTTTAACCAAACCGGCTGTATCACACCGAGGCAGGGTGGCCCAAAAGTTAAAATGAAAGTTTCTCCTTTTAAATTTAGTAATATATATGCTTGTACATGTATGTGTAGTGTGACCTAAGTGTAAGTAGAAGTAGCAAAATGTACCTGAAATCTTGCATATTTATGAGATGGAAAAAGACGCCAGCAATCCTATCATCATGTAAAACACTTACAGGCTTTCATTTTACACTACCTCGGCAGGATGGTACTACCTTCCTGGGCAGTTGCTGTCTACCAGCCTACTACCTAGGACTCGGTAAACTTGTTCCCCTATAATTTTTACAATCTCTTGTCTCCCCTCCCTCATATGAAGGAACTGTACATACTTTCTGCCCATCCCTAGGTACCTTGCCCTCTTTCATACATTTATTAAACAAAAATACCAACCACTCCCACACTATATCCCCTCCTGCTCTTAACCCTTAAATGGTCCAAACGTATACTATATACGTTCTCTCGCGTAGCACCCCAAACGTATATATGTTTTCTTTGTCATTCAACATTACCACGATAAGCCTGAGTCACCTACACATGAGAGAATGGGTGTGCTCACTCACTGTGCGCCATGTTAAAACAAGTGAGGATGCCTGAGTACCATATGCTCTTTTTTCCTATTAAAAAAAAAACAATTTTTTTTTCTCAAAAAAATTGGGGTACTATGCGAGAGAACGTACATATACGTTTGGACCGTTTCAGGGTTAACAGTTCTGTCATGATCCCATCAGTTCTAGCTGCTTTTCCCACTTTCATTCTATGTAATGCCTCGTGCACCTCCCCTACACCCACATCCTGCTCTTCTTCACTTCTAAAAGATGTTTTACCTCCCTGGCCAGTGCATGAAATTACTGCCTCCCTTTCTTCATCAACATTTAAAAGTTCCTCAAAATATTCCCACCATCTTTCAGGTACCTCCAGCTCCCCATCTACTAACACCCCTACTCTGTTTTTAACTGACACATTCATTGGTTCCCTAGGCCTTTTTTTTTTTTTTCAACAAGTCCGCCGTCTCCCACCGAGGCAGGGTGACCCAAAAAAACAGAAAATCCCCAAAAAGAAAATACTTTCATCATTCAACACTTTCACCTCACTCACACATAATCACTGTTTTTGCAGAGGTGCCCAGAATACAACAGTTTAGAAGTATATATACGTATAAAAATACACAATACAGTGCACCTTCGAATTTAGTAGTTCCATTTCTGTATGCAAAACTATTTTTATTGATAAAATGTATTTTTTGTTACATTATTTCTTATGGGAAATATTAACAAAAAATACTTTTTATAAATAAAAATAGTTTTGCATACAGAAATGGAACTACTAAATTCGAGGGTCCACTGTATATCCCTCCAAACTGCCAATATCTCAAACCCCTCCTTTAGAGTGCAGGCATTGTACTTCCCATTTCCAAGACTCAAGTCCGGTTATATAAAATAACCAGTTTCCCTGAATCTCTTCACTAAATATTACCCTGCTCACACTCCAGCAGCTCGTCAGATCCCAAATACCATTCGTCTCCATGCACTCCTATCTAACTCGCTCACGCATACTTGCTGGAAGTCCAAACCCCTCGCCCACAACACCTCTCTTACCCCCTCCCTCCAACCTTTTTGAGGACGACCCCTACCCCGCCTTCCTTCCCCTACAGATTTATACGCTCTCCATGTCATTCTACTTTGATCCGTTCTCTCTAAATGACCAAACCACCTCAACAAACCCTCTTCAGCCCTCTGAGTAATACTTTTATTAACTCCACACCTCCTAATTTCCATACTCCGAATTTTCTGAATAATATTTACACCACACATTGCCCTTAGACAGGACATCTCCACTGCCTCCAACTGCCTCCTCGTTGCAGCTTTACAACCCAAGCTTCACACCCATATAAGAGTGTTGGTACTACTATACTTTCATGCATTCCCTTCTTTGCCTCCATAGATATCATTTTTTGCCTCCACATATACCTCAATGCACGACTCGCCTTTTTTCCTTCATCAATTCTATGATTAACCTCATTCTTCATAAATCCATCCGCTGACATGTCAACTCCCAAATATCTGAAAACATTCACTACTTCCATACTCCTCCTCCCCAATTTGATATCCAATTTTTCTTAATCTAAATCATTTGATACTCTCATCACCTTACTCTTTCTTATGTTCACTTTTAACTTTCTACCTTTACACACACTCCCAAATTCGTCCACTAACCTTTGCAGTTTTTCTTTAGACTCTCCCATAAGCACAGTATCATTAGCAAAAAGTAACTGTGTCACTTCCCATTTTGTATTTAATTCCCCATAATTTAATCCCACCCCTCTCCCGAACACCTAGCATTTACTTCTTTTACAACCCCATCTATAAATACATTAAACAACCATGGTGACATTACACATCCTGTCTAAGACCTGCTTTTACTGGGAAATAGTCTCCCTCTCTTCTACACACCCTAACCTGAACCTCACTATCCTCATAAAAACTCTTTACAGCATTTAGTAACTTACCACCTATTCCATATACTTGCAACATCTTCCACATTGCTTCCCTATCCACTCTATCATATGCCTTTCCTAAATCCATACATGCTTTCTTAACCTGTTTATTTCACTCCAAATTTTTTTCTTATTCTCAGCAAAATTTGTTGTCAGTGCCTCACCCACTGTCATTTGCTCTCCTTGTGCACACACCACTCTTCACCTTTCTTTTACCCTCCATATATTCCGCCCTTCTTATATCACTTCTGCTTTGTGAAAACCTCTCATAAGCGACCTTTTTCTCTTTTATTGCATCCTTTACCTCATTCCACCAATCACTCCTCATTCCTCCTGCACCCATCCTATAGCTATAAACTTCTGCCCTACATTCTAACACTGTCTTCAACCCCCCCCCCCAACCCACCCACCCATATTTGCACTAGCCCACCTCTCTGCCAATACGTAGTTGCTTATATCACAGACACGTGCTGTAAACGGACAGAATCACTGAGAATAAAATGGCTTGGCTGTTGAGCACATCAGGCGGAAAAAATGCCAAAAAGGTGGAAGAAGCACTGAACGTAATAAACAGTGGATATAATTGAAAACTGCCAAGTGCAAATTGCTGTGAAGCGGGGCCCTCCTGTATTACTAGATACTAAAAGAAGTGTTATGGTGAAATATAGAAAAATAGTTTATCAGATCTATATCCCTGGATCAAACCTGATTACTGTTTAATTTAGAAGGGCTGTTTATGGCTCTTACAGATTTAATGCCTTCCTAAAATAATAATAGTAATTATATTATTATTTTTCAAGGTGGCTAAATGACCGAATGGTGTAGTCATAGTTGAAAGTTGGGCTGCAAGAGTTGTCTTAAAATGTAGAGGTGTTATTGTAGGTATTGTTACCTAATGGTATTTATCATTGTAAAATCTTATTATGTCTTGGTTAGTAAATAGTAACTTGCTTGAGACTGACCTCTGCAGATTCATTATCCAGTCAATGTGCATTGTGTTTCCAGTTGTGAAAGAGAGACGCATGAGAACTGACAGTGATACCTCTGGTGAAATTGACGATCGTCCTGCCAGTGTACCTTCAGCTGAACGTCACCGGGATGACAGGGAAGACCGGATTGAACGTTCAGACCAGAGGGAATATCGGTATGATCGTTCTGAAAGAGTTGAGCGACCCGATAGAGGAGAGCGGACAGAGCGAATAGATCGCCCAGATAGGGTTGAGAAGCCAGAACGCCCAGAAAGGGTTGATTCACGAGGGCGCGAAGACTTTTATGACAGATCAGATAGAGATGGGTAAGTTTTTTTATTTACTTTTCCAACTATAAAGGTAAGGAACTTTTTTTGTTGTTGGAGTAGGTAGTAGTTTACTAGGAGCAATAAAAAACTTTGGTGAGTGAAGCTTTGGTTAGGGTATGCAGGAGAGAGGGAGATTTTCCAGTAAAAATAGGCTTTAGACTGGAATCTTATTCAACATAGATGGGATTGTAAAAGAAGTTAAGCCTGAGGTGTTGGAATGAGATGTGGGATTAAAAGGTAACAGATTCAGTACTAAGTGGGAGGTGTCACAGCTGCCTTTTGCCAATGATGCTGTTTTTTAGGAAGATTCTGATTAAGTTGCTAAGGTTATTGAATGAATTTGGGAGGATATGTAAAAGAAGGAAATTATAAATGATCGTAGGGAAGAAAAAGATGAGTAAAAAATTAATTAGGCAATGAAAGACTGGATATCAGACTGGAGAGGTAGTATGGAGACAGTAAATATTTTCAGATAATTAGGAGTGTACTTGTTAGCAGATGGATCTGTGCACAATAGGTGAACCATGGAATAGACCAGAGGAAAGGTGTGCTGGGTGTTGAGGCATCTGGAGAGATAAAGAACTTGATCATTGGAGACAAGAAGGGGAATGTACCAGAATATAGTGGTGCCAGTACTGTTACATGAGTTTGAAGTCTAAGATATAAACATTGCATCGAGGAGGAGGCTGGAGGCAGTGGAGATAGCATGTTAGAAGCTTGGAGAGTAGAAGACAATGTGGGGATACCAAAAGTATTATTCAAAGGGTTGAGGAGAGGTTATGGTAGTGGTTTGTGCATCTAGAGGGGATGGAACAGAGTAGGATATGTATGAGGTTATAAAAGTATGAGCTTGAAGGAATGAGGGCTAGGGGTTGACCCAGGAAGGGTTGGAGGCAGGGATAAAGTTACTTTTGAGTTCTAAGAGCTTCACCTTCCATCAAGCTTCTATGTGTTCATTAGTGGAGACTAATGGCATTTATAACTCAACTGTGTTGTTGGAGTGTGAGCAAGATAACATACACACAGAGATTCGAAGAAACTGGTTAGCCTGACTTGAATGCAGTTCCCGCACTTGAAAGGTGTAAGTATGTTGCAGTTTGGAGGGTTATCTGAAATGTGATGGCAGCATACTTCTGTGAAAGTATTTTCTATTTTTTTGGGGCCACCCTACCTTGTTTACATATTTCTTAAGGTGTTTAAATTTAAGAACTATTTGGAATAACAGTGGGATATGAGGAATATAGAATGTGCTTATGTGCCTGAATGGTGAAAGATGTGTAAAGGTTGATTGATTCTTATAGGTGTTAAGTTAATGTTAAGGGAGTTTTGAACCAAGTGAGAGAATAAGTGTTGTGGGAGATCTAAATGCCACAGTGGGAGACTTTTAGATTGCACAATAGGTAAATTTGGAATGCCTGGGGTAAATAATGGAGGGCCTGTACTTGAATTACATATAGACAGAAGTGTGGTTATAAATGATACTTGCACTAAAAGGAGGAGGGATAAATAAGTATGCATGATATTGGGCACAGTGACAGTTGTTTACTGAACTGTGCTTTAGTAGATAAAGGGATGAAGGGGTTTGGGACTTCTCATAGCTATAGCAAAAGGTAGATGAAGTATTGTAAAAGGAGAATGGCATTAATAGTTACGAGGGAAGCAAAAATGAAGGAATTTAGAGGAGGAAAGGCAGATCTCTCTATGTAGTTCTCAGTGGGATGGAGTCAGCAAGACATTAAGTTGTGGAAAGGTGTTCTACAGGGAAGCATTGCTTGGGCCATTGTTATGGAATGTCTACTTCAGTGACCTTCATTCATCCAAAATCCCATGCATATGCAGACAACTGTACTCTGACATTTACTTATCCAAGAGGAAATGCCAGCCATTTCAAGCTACATCAATCACCAGCTAAGAGCTATATCACCCTGAGGAACTGATGGCAAGTAACATTTGCTCCTGAGAAACACAAATGATGAGGGTTTCCCTAGGCCCAGGATGGTAATGCTGGAGCAGTAAGTAAGTATGAATGGGAGGCATTGGTACCTGGGGATGAAGTTGATACCCTTTGGGGGTGAAATTTGACTTCAGATTGACCATGCTGTAAATCTTGCAAACAAGGCAGCCGGGGAAGCTTTCAGCACTTAGACATAACTCGCATCTGCTTGACAGTAGAGTTTGCGATTCTGTACGAGGTACAAGTACGCTCCACCTTGAGTTGCTTCACTTTCCTGGGTTGCTTGCTCCCCATCTCATCTGTGACTGCTTGCGGAGTAGAGAACAGAGCAAGATGGCTTATCGTTGCCTGGACCCCGTCTAGATAGATCTGTCATTTCAACAGAGCCCTCAACACCAGAGAGGGTGGGAGGCCTCAAGTATATTAAGGCCAACACTGTCAAAGTACCACACTTGGCTCCACTCCAAGGACAGTGAGAAATGAGCTTCTATAAACGAGACTGGCATTTAAACAGCAAAATTCACTTTGACTACCTTTTTCTAGAACATTACTTTATCTGAGATCATTTATTCCCAGGATGACTCAAGTTGGAACATGTTTATATAGCATAATGATATCAGTGAGATAAAATCAGTTTATTAAATGAAAATGCTGGGGACACAGATGGCTCTAACTTCATCCTGTTCCCTACTTGTATGTTTAAAAACAAAAAGGATTTCAAATGAGTGATGTAGGTAACAGCTCTAACTCGTAAATAGTTAGGAACCCTTATCCTAACCTTGTTATACCTGTGGTAAAAAAAAAAAAATAAGCAACTATTGAGGCAAAGGTGGACCAGAGAAACGGTTATGGGATAGATTAAGATTCACTGCTAGTGTGTTCAGAATTTTTATGGGTTTAGGAGGATGGGTGCAGATGGATAAAGGAAGGATTGGTGGAATGATGAGTTGAAGAGGTGATCAGGGGAAAAAAAGCTAGTATGCAAGAAGTTTTCACAGTATAGAATAATATGTGGAAAGCAGGTTTAGTATATTTCTATTAAGAAAAAAGTTTAAAACACTGGTGAGTGCAAAAGAGAGCCAGTGACAAATGGGTGAGTCTTCGTAGCAAATTTGCTAAGCGAGATTAATAAGTTAAGAGAGAAAGTGGAGGGTCTAGAATGATACTATTTTGAGGAATTGTTAAAAGTTATTGATGAAAGGGATGTAGTGATGTCATGCATTAGGCAAGGAGAATTTACTTACTATAGGAGTAAGGATGAGCTAGAAGTAGACATGGAGAAAGTATGCAAAGCAGTGGGTAGAATGAAAGGGACCAGGTAGAGCAGCTGGTACGTATGGATTTGGTGGGGATTTGGTTTTGGAGTGGATGGTGTATTTATTCCATGTATGGATGAAAGAAGGGAAGATACCTAACGATTGGCAGAGTATGTATGCTTGCTTTGTATATGACAAAAAAGGAAGAAGATAGAATGTTAGTCCTATGGAGAATGAAGTCTGTTGAGTATACTTTGTAATTATTTAGAGTTTGAGCTAAGTGGAAAATAGGTTTTGGGAAGTACAAAGAGAATTTAGGAGGGGTAAGTGATGTAGACTAGGCATTTATATTAATATGAGTGAATACGTACTACATAGATAAGGGTAAGAAAGTGTTTGTTATATTTATAGAGAAAAGATACTGGTAGGGTGTATAGGGAAGCAATGTGGCAGATTTTGCGAATGTATGGAATAGGTTAGTCGTTACTAAAGCAGTTAGAGTAGCTTGGTCATCAACATTTGTCCAGCTCAGATAGACAGCCACATAAGAGTAGCAACCAGTTCCACAGCTACCATCATTGATCTGGTTAAGCTGAAACCAGCTAGCTTGTGCTGGTGTGTATAGGATGCCTTACTTGGAATGAGGTTTAAATAGGGGAAACAGAAGCATTGACCACCACATGGTGAACTCGGATATTCCTGCAACCATTATATGAACACCGTTTGTCAAAACACACAGTCACACCATTTGGTTGGGGGGAAGGGGCAGAAATAAGCTTCTAGAGTGATTTACTTGGATGTCAGTGCCTAGAAGCCTCGATGATGTAGGTTTCAAACACGGCCATAAAACTCTGTATGCCTGTTGGCTCACATACAGCAGGTCTCTCAAATCCAACTCTTATCACTCATGCACTACACAGCCTTGCTAGTCTCTAATGAGTGGGATCTTCCCCTCACCCCCAATGACCTTGTCTTTCTGGGTCACACCTGACTTTTCACTATATACTACTGTGATTTTACCAGTCCGCATTAGGACTGAAAAAGCCACCGGTGGTGAAGGTCTCCCTTAATAAATTTCTTATCGTTGTAATTTTGTTTTAATTCACTAATATGTTGCAGGAGGTATCGGTGGGCGTGGATCACAAGGAAACTATAGGGAAAGAGATCGCGATCGTGAGAGTTGGGCACGCACTACATACATGAGAAGTTTGAAGAGGTGCTCCATGATCAGAGAGATTTTGACTATGAAAGACGGTAAGTTGTTGGTACCTTGAATCATGTGTGTTATAAATTTATTTTAAGTATGTAAATTACATTGTTTTCTTTAACTTTTAATGTACAGTGGACCCTCGGTTATCGGCTGTAAACCATTCTAGTAGGTTGGCCTTTAAAAACCGAAAAGGCCTGAAAATGCAGTAATATTTCCCGTAAGAATTATGTAAATCCAATTATTTTTTCAGAATCCAAAATATTAGCAAAAAATTTTTTTAACCTTTTAGGGTTTCGGCCGTTTTTTACGGCTTACGCACTAGGGTTTTCGACGTACTGTATGCCAAAATTTCTGCACCTCAAATCTAGTGAGAAAAGCTGGTAGGCCTACATATGAAAAAAGGGGTCTATGTGGTCAGTGTGTGCAGTATAAAAAAAAATCCTGCAGCACACAGTGCATAATGAAAAAAGAAAAAACTTGACTGTGTTTTTGGATTAAAACAGCGACTTTGCACTGTATTTCTTTATGGTTTTATTTTTTGTATTCTAGTTTTCCTGGTCTCATTTTATAGAATGGAAGACTATTACAGAAATTGA